ATGTTCCGCCCACTCACAAAAAAAGTACTATTTCTGAGCCCTGGTCGCAGACACCCTGGTTCTTACATGAATCGGAGGCCAACCAGTAGAAGCCCCCCATTTGTTTATAATTGGTCAAATCGCCTCAATAATCTACTTTACCTCTATTATTGTCGCCTTCCCCTGCTCGGCCTACTAGAAGAAAACACCCTACTAAGCAAAACCCCCCCTCGACCAGCTCGAAATTCAGTTTTCAAGCTGTACTTTACAGGGGCAAACTCACGCTACTAAACCCACGCAAGTAACCACGGCATCGCCACCCATGCGGACATCACTCGTCTATAGTCCCACAAAAAAAAAAAAAAATATATAACCCCAAAATTTTTTGTAAAAAAAAAAAATAAAAACATAAAAATAATTTGGACAAATGCTTTTTTACAACAAATAATACCCTGAATGGGGGCATTTAAATGAATGCTATCCCATAAAATAAAAACTATCTAACCATTGCTACTCTTTTCCCCCGTAAAATAAAAACCTGATTTTCCTCCATGGGTAAATAATTATTAATCAAAATATTTTTTCGGGAAACCTAAACATACCCCCCCCCTTATAATAAACTTATAAAAACATAAAATTAAAAATAATTTCCTTACTTAATCCCCCCCCCGAGATCAAGATTTATAGGATGCCTCCGTGTGAGCCTTACAGCCCTAACCATACCCCCCCCCGTAATCAAGCAAATATATAAAAAAATAAAAATTTAAAGGGGAAACGCAATTAAGCAATACTAAAAAAAAACCATTAATATGTCCTCATAATCAGAGTCAAATTAAAACCTAATTTTAAACCGCAAAATATAAAAATGGACCCCAAAAAAAATATAGAAACGTAGTTTAAAAAAAAAATCACCCCCCATTGTGAATTTTAAAGATTTTCTAGGGAAACCCTTTTGTTCATACCTTCCCCATTAAAAAAAATTTATGTAAACAATATGAAAAATCGTCTATTAATCAAGCCCGGCAAACGCTAAAAAAAACCCCCCATTTATTTAAAATATATATAAAAATTAATTTACTAGGGGAAACGCTAAGCATACCCCCCATAAATAAGTATGTAATATAAATATAAAATTTGTGGGAAAAATTTTAAAGGGGAAACGCTAAGCATACCCCCCATTTATATGTATGTAATATAATATAAAATTAATAAAAAAGGGGAAAAAAACAAATATTGCATACCCCCCATTATATTATAATGTAAAATATATAAAATTAAAAAAAAAAAAACTAAGGGGAAACGCTAAGCATACCCCCCATTTATAATGTATGTATAATATATAAAATTAATTTTCTAGGGGAAAAAAGAAGCATACCCCCCATTTATATGTATGTATATATATATATAAATTAATAATTTTTTAGGGGAAACGCTAAGCATATACCCCCATTTATATGTATGTATATATATATATAATTAATTTTTTAATAGGGGAAAAAAGCATACCCCCCATTTATATGTATGTATATATATATAAATTAATTTTCTAGGGGAAACGCTAAGCATACCCCCCATTTTATATGTATGTATATATATATAAATTAATTTACTAGGGGAAAAAGCTAAGCATACCCCCCCCATTTATATATGTATGTATATATATAAAAATAATTTTCTAGGGGAAACGCTAAGCATACCCCCCCATTTATATGTATGTATTATATATAAATTAATTTTCTAGGGGAAACGCTAAGCATACCCCCCATTTATATGTATGTAATATATATATAAAAAAAATAAATTTTTTCTAGGGGAAACGCTAAGCATACCCCCCATTTATATGTATGTATATATATATAAATTAATTTACTAGGGGAAACGCTAAGCATACCCCCCATTTATATGTATGTAAATATAATATATAAATTAATTTTCTAGGGGAAACGCTAAGCATACCCCCCCATTTATATGTATGTATATATATATATAAATTAATTTTCTAGGGGAAACGCTAAGCATACCCCCCATTTATATGTATGTATATATATATAAATTAATTTTCTAGGGGAAACGCTAAGCATACCCCCCATTTATATGTATGTATATATATATAAATTAATTTACTAGGGGAAACGCTAAGCATACCCCCCCCATTTATATGTATGTATATATATAAATTAATTTTCTAGGGGAAACGCTAAGCATACCCCCCATTTTATATGTATGTATATATATAAATTAATTTTCTAGGGGAAACGCTAAGCATACACCCCCATTTATATATGTATGTATATATATATAAAAAATAATTTTCTAGGGGAAACGCTAAGCATACCCCCCATTTTATATGTATGTATATATATATAAATTAATTTACTAGGGGAAACGCTAAAAGCTATACCCCCCATTTTAATGTATGTATAATATAAATAAATTAATTTTCTAGGGGAAACGCTAAGCATACCCCCCATTTATATGTATGTATATATATAAAAAATTAATTTTACTAGGGGAAACGCTA